ACACATTTGAAATCCTAAGCTAACTTAGGCATGATTCACAATTACAAAATGCTTATTAGCAATGTTAACATTGTGATTATTTTGTGGTACCCCTACATATATGTTAATTTGATCTATAAAATTAGAAAAACAATTTTACGTTAGTTGCAGATTATATAAAATTCTAGACATAAAGATCTTAAACTCAAATAACAAATATTATAAAGACAGAACACACATAAAAAATGAAAAGATTAGTAATATTTTAATAATATGTTTATTATTACACATCCCAACTTGAATATAAATATTATTTTACTTACTCACATAATTCTTCTTTAGCTTGTTTAACATATAATTTAAGAATTTTTGGTATATTCCCAAAATTTTCAGTCTCCTATCTGAACAGAGAAAATGGAGTCTTGAAAAGAACAAATAGCATTTTTCATGCAAGATTTTTGCATATGCTTTGATTTCAAAGCCATTCAAACTTTCCCTTCAGCAGGAGTCAGAAGTGATACAAAGTGGGCATTATTTCTCTTCAAAAGTAACTGCATGAGTTGGACGTGACTCAATGATGTTTCTTTTGGTGGTCCATGTTCAGCTATTAATTACAACAAAATGCTAAAGGCACTAATGACAAACCCACAATTTTTTTTTCATTTGAATGGAATTATATGTGAAGAACATAACAAAATTAACATAAAACAGACAGCAATTCCAAAAGCATTAATAAATAATGCACTTGTGCAAAGTAACCAAACTTTTAAAATAGTGTGCCAACTGAGAGAGGGAATGTGCTATGGCTACTGAATGCACACAGTGGCAAGTTTAAACAATACACTGTTACTGGTCATAATTTTCACTCTGACCATTAGCTGGTGAGCTACAGCTCTGACCATTTAGCTGGTGAGCCTCTGAAACGAGCATATGCACATGCCGATCGACAGATTAGTGCCAAAGTGGCAATGAAAGAGCTTGAAGAACAACATGTACGTGTGAAACTTTGCAAAACTTTCAAAAACATTTCAGTTGCTTAGCCAAAGACTGTATGAGTCATATGCAGTGTTATGAGTAGGTTAAGCATTTTGAGCATCTCAGAATATCAATCAGTGATGATCCTAAACATGGACGGCCTTCTACATCAACAGATGTTGAGAGAGTTTATACTGTGATTCATGGACATTGTCGTTCAACTGCTTGAGAGGTTGCTGACGAAATAAGCATCAGTGTAAGATCATGCCATTAAATTTTGAATGACAAACTTCAGATGTGTTGTGTCAGTGCAAAATTCATGCCATGTTTGCTGACTTATGATCAGAAACACACCTTTTTTTAAATCATCAAGGAACTGCTCGTCACAGCTAATAACAAGAAAACTTTGAAAAGAACATTATAACAGGCAATGAGACATGGTTTTATGGCTGTGATATTGAAATGAAGGTGCAGTTGTTGTAGTGGTTGGACAAAGGGCCTTCTCATCCAAAAAAAGTATGCATGAATTGATCAAAGATCAGAGATAGTGGTTGTGTTTTTTTGAAAGCAAGGTTGTGTTTTTTGACAGCAAAGGCATTGTTCCCCAGGACTTTAAACCTTTGGTCAAATGGTAAGGAAGTAAAAAAAGGATTTATAGCATGTGTGAGGAATGCTGTAGTATGCAGGGAAATGCATGAATTTTTTAAAAACCAGACCAGGATGTTATATCATGACAATGTGCTTTCTCACGCATCGCTCTTTGTCCGCAGCTATCTAGCAAAACATCTCACTCCAGTTGTGCCCCATCCACCATATTCTCTGCACTGGTTACAGAAGAAAACATTGCGGCAAAAACATCGTGGATAAAAATGTAACAGAGAAAACAATACAAGGTGAAAATGTTCTGGTACAAAACATCGTGGGAGAAAATAAAGCAAAGAGAAAACATCACACTTCTAAAACATCGTGGTACAAAATATTGTGGTCGAAAATAAAGCCATTTAAAAACATCGTCGTGGAAAATACCATGGTAAAAACAAATCATTGCATGATGATAACATCGTACACATGCGTTTTTCAGGTTTTTAAAAGCTGTAAATGCATATTTACACAATTATTTGGGAGCGCAAAAAGGAAAGAGGGATATTTTTACTTCTATATTTCATATTTTTGAAAGAACTAATAAATTTTTGTAGGAAAAGTAAGATGGAAACTTAAGTATTTAAAAACTGAAAATAAGTGCCTGAGCGGTAAAGTCGTTGAACTCTGGTATTTCGATCAGGCAAATGAGCTGGTTGCATGAGATTTTCATGATTTTCCTAATGTGTAACATGAATATGTGCCAGTTCCTGAGAAAGTATACTGCAAAGGCATCCCTCCTCTTCAGAAGATAGCCCTAGTGTGCTTTGGCATAATCCTATAAATCTAAATTCCATACTGACATATTATGTAACTGACTTTCGTCAGAACTAAGAAAACGACATCCAAATAATTGATTACATGCTATACATGAAAATATTTAAGAATAAACAGAAATTGTAAAGTTGAACCTCAATCTAATATTACCTTTGTTTAATGTAATCTAGCAAATTACATATGGCAACAGTGGAAGCTTTTTTTATACTTATGTTTTTGAGCTTGTTCTTTTTATGAGAAAAAGAGAAAAATGGCTCCGAGTCGCATTTCATATGTATTTTGAGAAATTAATGAGTGTTATCTTACACCATTTATATTTTGAGTGTTGTTTTCAAATGTTGAAAGTAGAGTTGTCACTTATTAGATTTGTAAATAAACGGTTTGTGTTGTAACGAGATCTTTCATTGAAATGATAACACTCATTTCCTTTACTAATTCTTCTGATGTTCGAAAGCAAAATGAAATAGAATCAAAACAAGACATAATTTTCACTAAATAAATATCAGATCAACAAAAATGAAAGAAAATAATTTGATAATTAACTAAACAATTTTTATAGAGGTAACTTCATGCAGTTACTTATCTTCCATTTTGTAAACATTTTTAGATTGTATTTTTCATGAAAAATTATCAGTAAAACTTTATAAAAGAAGATAAATTTATTAATTATCTTTATTAATTAACTATGTAAAATTAAAATTCTATTAAGTATTATAAACTGCATTAAGTTTCTACTCATTTTCTATTTTTAAAAACTTCAGTTTCCTTCTTACTTTTTCAACAAAAATTTATTAGTTCATTCAACAATATGAAATACAAAAGTAAAAATATCCCTCTTACTTTCTTGCACTCCCACCGTTATGCAAATATGCATTTACAGCTATTAAAACCTGAAAAACGGATGTGTGCAATGTTATCATCATGCGTACTTTATTTTTTACCACGATATTTTCGAACACAATGTTTTTAAACTGCGAAGTTTTTGAACTGCTTTATTTTTTACCATGATATTTCGTATTATGATGTTTTAGAGCTGCACTGTTTTCTCTTTGCTTTTTTTTTTCTCCCACGATGTTTTGCACCATGACGTTTTCACCTTGCGTTGTTTTCTCCATGCCGTTTTCGTCCGCGATGTTTCCGTCGGGCACCATCCGCATCCAACCCGAGCAGACATTTTTCTGTTTCCTAAACCGAAAAACCATGTTGAAAGATATGTTGCTTCCAAACCACAGAGGAAATTCAGGACAATGCAACAAGAGACCGGCATGCCACCCCAGGAAGTACATTCCAGAAGGCTTTCTAAAAATGGAAGAAACGATGAGAATAAGGTATTCCCAGTACAGGGTTCCCAGTACGTCGAAGTGGACAGAGCTTAAAATGTTGTACAATAAGCAATAATGATATTACAGCAGAAGTTTGGTTTCTTTTTGAACACATCTTGTATATTCAATTTTAATTACAATATTTTCCCTCCCTTAGATCTCCTTAAACCTTACTATCACAAGCCTTTACAAAAAGTATAAAGCTCCAGATTTAAATTCCATATCTTAACAAGAAATTTTGGTCACACATGTTGTTCAGCAGATAGATAACAATGTACAGTGTGGAAGTAAGAAGAATTGTAGTGAAGATAACAACTGTAACAGAAAATGTATAATATAATGAGATCACTGCTCTATTTCTTCACATATTTTTTTCTTTTTTTACTAATTTTATCATCCAAAAATCAAAGGGCAAAATAATGCTAATAGTTTAATTCCCAAAGGACATAGTAACAGTAAAAGTATAATAAATAAAAAGCAGTCATGGATAAACTACAAATAACTATCACATTATTATATTATTTCTCTAAAAGAAACCTGCATTCCAATAAGAATACATAGTAATATTGACATTACAATATCTAATAAGAATTCTACTTCCATGTAACTTTAATCTCCTCCATTTTTGTTGTTGTCTCTGCTACTCCTTAGGCTCAAAATCATCCATAAATAATTAGAGGAGGTGAATGTGCAGCTGGTTTAGTGAAATTGTAGAATGAACATCAGTCCATGTTTACTTCACAGTGATTTGTTGATTACTGTATTATGCTATCCAGTTTAATATAAGAATTGTCCAAACAGCCAGCCTAATAAAAGAACAGTTAACAGTTGGAAAGAAAAATTGGCTTGGCATGACTTTTGCTAGTAGTTTGCAAGAGTTTCTTTTTGTTAGTAAGATGAAAACAATCACTATATGGACAAATCCATTTTAAACCTCAGCAGAACTTGTTCTCTGAATGCATTGAGGAAGGCGAAAATTATGCTTCCCCCCCCCCCCCCCCGGTTTTCAGAACTTTGCACTGAAATAGTAGGGAGAAAAATATGTGAAGAAATGTAGTGTATTCACTCATGTAACTTTTTAATTTGCCAAGTTCTTTCTTTCGCTCCTTCTCTCAGAAAAAGTGCACACACATCTCTCCTTTTAATTTTTCACTCTGAACTTCAAACTTTAAAATTAACCAAAAAAAAAAAAAAAAAAAAGGTATGAGAATATGTGAGTAAGTATGGTATATTACAAATTAAAACGTTGAAGCATTATTAAATATGAAAAGAAAATTGTCAGCTTGAAGACTATTAAGTATGACATACAAGAGGTGAAGGTTCAGAACAATACATTTCTTGTAACAAGGAATCTGCAAATCCATTTGAACCAGGTTGGTAAATACTCAGTTGTTGTTCTAACTCTTCTGGCTCATTAAGTACACGAGTTGGGACAATTGCAGCTGCAGTTTGCAGGAGATTTTCATCAGGAGAGGTAGGTTCAACAGGTCTGGCAACAATTAAATGAACTTGGGAACCACACTGTCTCAAAACCATAGCTACTTGCTCTGAGCCCATGCCACGAAGATTTATATCACCTATCTGTATAATATGATCTCCTATTTGTAATCTACCATCCTGGGGGGAAAAATCACTCGTATTTATTAAAACTGAAATGTCAAACTATATTTAAAAATGCAATCATGAAATACATAAACTAATTGACAAAATAGTTATTAATAAATAAAACACACATAAAATACACGATGGAAAATAATACAACAAATAATTTTTATTTTGGATGTAATGTACATTTTCAATTACTGTATTGCAACATACTGTATTACTGTATTAGATTGTATTACAAGATGACAGGTAGAAATTATAAATTAAAAGTATTAAATAGTCATATATTAAATAATGATGTATTTAATGACTTCAAGGGAATCAAAATTTACAAGAAATGCTCATTATTTATTAGTTTGTTTTATTAAATATTTCTTTCAATGTAATTTGTTAAGGTTGTTTTGTTTTTTCTGCTAATACTTTCTCTTTAATTTTATAGATATAAATAATTTCTTGTCAATTACAAAGTTCCACTGTTCAAGTACTGTAAGTCTTGTGTCGAAAATTCCCACATACTTAGATAACATTCTAGTATTCTCAGAAAATAAACAACTCCATGAACAAACACATTTAAAAAGTTTGCACAAACTAAATGAATATAGACTTAAACTAAATATTTCAAAATGTATTTTCAGTATTCCTGAAATAGAATTCTTGTGCCAATTTAATATCACAAGAATGGAAGTAAACCTTTACCTAAAAGAGTAGATGCAATTTTGAACTACAAAAAAACAGAAACTGTTATTGACTTCAGAAAGTTTTTAGGTTTTCTAAATTTTTACTGTAGATAACTGACCAAGAAGGAGCTTATAACTATGCAATGCTTTGCCCTCTGGCTGCTCATCCCGCAATTTCCATGGGTAACTCAAATGTAGCAAAATCTGCTCATCCCACGATTTCTGCTGGCATGTGTTTTTCTTCTTTTATTGAGGAGCGCATCCCCTTCCCCGTTACGCATGCGCATAGGCGTTTACGTGTGCGCGTAAGACCTTTACGGCTAAGAATATGCGTGTGCACGTGCACATAAAACATTTACGCATGCACGTTTAATGTATAACGGACGGTATAAGCTAAGCTAAAATTATCTAATTCAGTTAATGTTGCAGATTGCGTTTTTCCTTAATCTTCGAATTGGATCCGGCTTATTCTTTTTTTGCAGACCTGTTAGAGCAATTTTATAAAAGTAAGCTTGAACTTTCGATTATATCAAATAGAATTTCTGATATATATTTGCTAATATGTAAAGAATCTAAAGCAAAAGTATGTTTCGAAATCCAAAATCTGTTTATCAATTTCATGCTGCTCGGCGGGGTAGGAATGCCACGGCGCCGCGCAATGAATTGGAAGTTGATCTGTCAGCACTATCCTTATCTTCAGGGCAGATGTTTTTATTTTATTTGGCTTATAATTCCTTACAAAATGTAGTATTTCATCTCGATGTACTCCGTCTTTGATATGATTTAGAACAAGTTCCTCGTCATTATAATTTGCTTCCGATAGTGAAGAAAGTAACAGAGGTTATTGAAAACGAAAAAAATTCGATTGACAAATTAGTCGGTATTCTCGACACAGCAATTATAGGATTTGAACAGTGGAACTTTGTAACTAAACAAGAAATTATTTCTGTTTAATAGAATTAAAGAAAAAGTATTATCACATGAAACGAAGCAACTTAAACAACTTACATTGAAAGAAATGTTTAATGAAGTAAACAAATAAATATTAAGCTTTTTCTTTTTGTAAATTTTGATACCCTTTAGATCATAATTGTTCTTTATTTCATAAATTACGGTTTCACATTTTTAATTTTGTAATTTCTGTATGCCATCTTACCAGATTTAAACTGATGATCTATAATCCGGAAAAATCGATAATCCGGAATCGCTGAAGTCCCGACGAGTCCGGATTAACGACTTTTGACTGTATACAGTATTAGACGTTTAGTTTACGTTTTGGCCAACAGATATTAGTTGTCCACTAAATTATGGCATTTGAAGGCACGTGACATTACCACTCAAACTTCGCTTTTTGCCTTTTTTTCTCACAGAAATGGCTGCTAGAAAACGTTCAGTGATTGACAGAGAGTATATTCCTGATGCCTTATCAGATTCTGAAAGCGATTTTAGTTTTGATAGCAATAGTGATATAGATTTTTCGGACTGCTCCTCAAATAGCGATCGATGATTTTGATAACTTTGATGATTCAATAAACTTGAACTCTACCATACTAAACTACATTTCTAAGGTATTTTTTCCTCAGTGCTTTAATTTTTTTTTAATTTTATACATTTTACTTTTTTATCTTATGCAATAAATAGAAATTAACTGTAATTCAACTGAAATTTACTTTAAAAAAATTTGATAACATCTGAAATTGGTTTTTCTGCCAACTTAGTTTCTCATGATAAAAATCTATACAAAAAATATTTTCTAAAAAGAAAAAATGCATTTTTCAATTTTCCAATATATATAAATTTAATATATGCAAAATGAAAAATACACAATTTTTGAAGCGATTTCGGTCCACAAATTGACCAGTCAGAGGGTTAAAAATGCTAAACAACAGTTAGTAAATATTAGCAAAAACAACAGTTAGCAAATGTTACATTAATTAGCACAGCCTTTATCAAATGCATCTCTAGTTCTAGTCGCATTTCACTCTGAGAGGCAGAAAAGAGGAATATTAGAATTACAACCTGAACTTACAACAGTGTTGAGAGAGCGAATGAACAAGACCAAAAGTTGCACAATCAGTTTAGTGAAAACTACAGAGAGTGTACAAAACAGATAAAACCAAAAACTTGGCATTCGAGTGTTAATTTGAGGTCAGTCTTTGATGGCAAACACTCAAATGCACATCTAGACAAGGTCTCAACCTCGGAAATGACCGCAAGAATTTAATTATCTAATTAAGGGCTGAATATTATCAACTAACTCCAACTTCCATTGTATACCGAGATTAGCATGAAAAGTTCATGCTGTGTTCTGGCTGTCAGAACTTCGTGTGTCATAGAAGGGTGCTTCAAGTAGAATAAGCGCAGCACAGTAAGTTCAGGAGGACAGGATAGAAGATGGTGAAGGGGGGAAAAACCGCTAACAAGGTTGTTAGCGCCCTTTGTTTTGTATTAGCTGAGAAATACTTGGCACCAGAGTAGAATCTTGGCTAATAACACATGCGCCACCAGAATTGGCGCTGAAATATATTCTCTGAAAAACTTGATTTTTGTGGCACATTCGAAGTTGCGATTCATATGTTACGCTGTAAGGTGAAACCTAGCGCCAGATTGTCACTATGGAAAATAAATGTATTGAAAATTAGAGCGTGTTATTTCTGTGTAATGTGTGTGGTGTTATTTTACTGTGATATATAGCTATCGACAGTAAATGGAATAAGTCAATACACCCTTCTATGGCACACAAGGTTCTGACAGCCAGAACGCAGCATGAACTTTTCATGTTAATCTTGGCATACAGCGAAAGTTAGTTGATAATATTCAGCCCTTGAATAGATAATTAACTTCTTGCAATCATTTGTGAGGTTGAAACCTTACCAACCAAAGATGCGCAGTTAAGTGTTTGCTATCAAAGCCTGAGCTCAAATTAACACTCGAATGCCAAGTTTTTGGTTTTATCCATTTTGTGCACTCTCTCTGTGAGGTTTTCACTAAACTGATTGTGCAAATTTTTGTCTTGTTCACTCGCTCTCCCAACACTGTTGCAAGTTCAGGTTGGCATTATAATACAGTCAAAAGTCGTTAATTCGGACAGCCATAATCCGGAATGATCTATAATCCGGACCTCAAAGCTACAAACTTTCTGTGCATGCGTTGCATTGACGCATGCGCGTAAGACCTTCACGGTTGCGAATATGCGTGTGCGCAAGCCCAAAATACGTTTACGCATGCGCGTTTAATGTATAACGGACGGTATAAGCTAAGCTAAAATTATCTAATTCAGTTAATGTTGCAGATTGCGTTTTTCCTTAATCTTCGAATTGGATCCGGCTTATTATTTTTTGCAGACTGTTAGAGCAATTTTATAAAGGTAAGCTTGAACTTTCGATTATTTCAAATAGAATTTCCGATATATATTTACTAATATGTAAAGGATCTACAAAGCGAAAGTATGTTTCAAAGTCTATTAAACAAAAAGTGGAATTGCTGCAAAAAATGGATAAAGGCATATCCTTTGTGTTTACCTAACCATTCCGAAATCTGTTTATCAATTTCACACTGCTCTGCGGCGGGGGGACGCTGCGGCGCGCAATTAATTGGAAGTTGATCTGTCAGCACTATCCTTATCTTCAGGGCAGATGTTTTTATTTTATTTGGTTTATAATTCCTTACTAAATGTAGTATTTCATCTCGATGTACTCCGTCTTTGATATGATTTAAATCAAATTCCTCGTCATTATAATTCGCTTCTGATAGCGAAAAAAGTAAACAAATAAATATTAACTTTTTTTTTTTTTTGTAAATTTTGATACCCTTTAGATCATAATTGTTCTTTATTTCATAAATTACGGTTTCGTATTTTTAATTTTATAATTTCTGCATGCCATCTTACCAGATTTAAACTGATGACCTATAATCCGGAATCGCCGAAGTCCTGACGAGTCAAGATTAACGACTTTTGACTGTATTCCTCTTTTCTGCCCATCAGAGTGGAATGTGACCCTATGTTCTATGGTAATTATTGCTCATATGGATGAGTACTATCACTCCTTTTAATTTGTAAAAACAATTTAAGAATCACCCTGTATATAAATAGTTTTAGTGAAATTATATGTGAAATGTTTGTATTTTTTTGTATAATGTAACATGAAAATCTAGAGAGATGATGCTATGTCAGAAAGTCAGGAAAGTAAGAATGCAATGTCTATTTAGCAGTGAATAAATGGCTATCTCACTAAATTGACAACATATAGCCAAGCTAGTGATGGTTTTGGGAGACTAATTTGTATCGCCAAATTTGGGGATAAATCAACAGAAGTCACCAAACTTGGCACCATTTTGGTCTGGTCCCTGTATTACCATAATTGGTAGTGTAATTGAATAACCATAACTGATGCTATATGAGACCATATCCAACCCTTATATATCTTCCAGTAACTTCGAGAAGGACTAGAAATTTCTTGATGGTCAAACAGAAATTATATAAGACTGGAGTGAGCATCAGTTTTGAATTAGATGTTGTTTACTTCAGCGTGGTTTGGAGTATTGACATGTCTCTGCATTAGCTTCAATCTTTAGATATGCATTATTCCAATGAATTGTGTTTAACATTCTTAGTAGTTTGAAATGTAACTGCTAATTGTACACTGGGAAGAGGTGTACAAATATTTTTGTGGAAAGTTTCAGAACTGTGAAGTGTGAACTTTTGGTGAAATAAGTTTTATCAAGCTATCATTGGTTCTGTGTGTATTAAATCAAAGTGGAGGCAATATTGAACAAGTTATTGTTTTTAACTTGTTCACTAATGCCTCCATTATAAAATCCAGAATTTCAGGACCGGTGTCAGGAGATTTTAGTGAGCTGCAGTGTCTATCATGAAAGCCTCTCAGTTTCAGAAGGAGTGATGGTCCAATAATCCTGTAGGTCTTCTTAATATCATCTTCAACTATAAGAATCAGAGAACATGAAACTCAACCAAAATATTAAAAGGATATGAATAATTCGGTCTGCAAATTGTTTCAGATAGAGCAAGAACTAGAATGCTCCAAAACTATCAATTGTACAGATTCTTGCTACTAGCAAGATCCTCACATAATGAGGACATCTTTTTTAGATATTCAATATTAACTATCAATTTTCATTACTGTGTCATTAATAGAGATTCTCCAGTCTTATATAATTAACAGATTCTTGCCACTAGCAATATCCTCACATAATGAGGACATCTTTTTTAGATATTCAATATTAACTATCAATTTTCATTACTGTGTCATTAATAGAGATTCTCATATATTTATAATAAATTCATTTTTAGTTCTGTTTCCAATAAGTAATATGCAACCTAAACAAATACAACCAACACCAGTTGCAACATGGAGTCATCCCATCAGCAAACTGTCATCACCCCTTTTAATTGCTTTATAATGCTGTCAAAAAATTTTGCAAAATGCACTACATTTGCCTTTTATTATCGCCATCAAACATCAAATATATTGTTTTAGGTTTCATTATATTTTTAATAATACGATATTATTATATAATATAATGAAATCTAAAACCGCAGAATTTATTGGATTCACTCTTTTTTAATGAAATCTAGGTCAAGAATATGTTTCAATAGTGATATTTTAATTAAATATGCTTAGGTTCTTCCCTTTAAATTAAATATTTTGCTTTACATATTTATGAGAGTTTAAAATGAGCTACAAGCAAAATAACAAAAATCAGAATTCAAAATCTCACTTTATCAGCCACACTTCCAGGGACAATAGTTTTGACAACAACTCCAGTACTTCGTCCCCCTGTTATGCCAAATCCCCAAGCTGAGCCATCACTGGTTAAATCTATAGCTTCAATCTGCACCCATTCGGTATTAAGCTGAAATAAATATACATTAGCGTTTAGTAAAGCACTGAATTATAAAATAACTTGTATTGCTTACAAAAATTTAAAAAATTATATATACCGAAGAAATCCTTTGTAAATGCAACAGAATGACTTACTCTATGCATTAGATCTCTCAACAACAAACATTTCACAAAAATATGACTTTTCAAAATTTTTTTCTAAATTTTGTTTCTAAATTTGGGAAGTCTTTTAATTAAATAAAATAATTTTTTAATAAAATGTTCAACAATAATAAGGAAAGCATACATGATAATGAAAAATGGTAGTAGCAAAAGACTAAAAAGTTCTGGTATAAAATCTATGCTGTTCATTAGCATCAGATGCAAGAAAAATTTTTTTATTAAAAATAAAATTTTAAAATTCTTACTTATCTTATTTGATTCTCTTAGCTACTTCATAGAGGGTATATATAGTTCATTATTTAGCTGAATAAGAAAACATGCAACTATAGCATGTTAGTTTACATGCGAGAAGAGTTTCCTAATTTGTTTACTGTAAAGTATGTTCTACATAATCCAGCACAAGTCAAATCCATCCACAATATACTTTGTTATTACAGTATCCAGCTCTTTAGGAAAAGACAATGACTATTTTTGAGGCAGTCTATACATAAAATTACCTAATTTAATTTTTGAGAATCCATTCTAACTATGTAAGCTTTTTAAAACACAAAAAAACTCTTCCTCTATAAAACTTCAGAAACTTTAAAAGAGAAGTGTTTCTTTTAGATAACCAAAAATACTTCACTTTTAAATGTGATAGATAATGGAATTGGTAACGTGCACATTTTTAAGAAACCCACTTGCATGACTAAGAAAGAAAATGTTTAAAAAAATTTTCATTCTCATCTACTATACATCTAAATTTCAGTATCAGATTTTACAATAATTTCTCTGCAAATATGCATCTTTCATATATGTAAATATATAATAGCCCATATCATGTTCTCACATCATAATGATATGCATTATTAAAAGAAATAAGATTGCAGGTTCCTTTAAATAGAAACATAGAGATTGTTTTTCTTCTAACCACATATATTTGTATTCCAACACTTTGCTTTCAAAAATTATTCTAAAAACAGGCGGCTATAGCCAATCTATAAGAAAATAAAAAGAAGAAGGGAAATCTCATTAACTGTAGATAATCAGTTGAGCCCAGCATTTAAAATAAAAGACAAAATTAATTTAGTTTTTTTTTTTTTTTTTTTTCAATGGCGGGCACTGCCATTATAGGCATTGGCCATTAAGGTGGTCACTTTATCATGGAGGCACATAATAGGTGGGCCACCATAGCCTCCTATGAACGGACAGACAATTTAAATCCATACCTTCTCCGGGATTCGAGTCCAGGCCCTTTGGTACAGCAGTCACAGTCACTAACCACCTTCCGGTCTGGGTGGCAATTAATTCAAGTTACAAGTTTAATTTATCAGGCATTTTTACAATACGTTCACTTCTAATACACACAAGTGATAACTCTTCAACAACATCAAAGAAACCTTCTGGTAATGGTATTAAAATCTTCTTGTAACTTTGATATTTACTGTACTGAATTGGTAACCACAGTTACATCTAATTTCTATAAATCTGAAATAGAAGTTTCTCGAATCAGTAGTGATGTCACTTGCATAGCTAAATATTCATTATTACTAAAAGAGGATAATATGCCCATTAACGTCCAACCAATATTTATTTCAGTTGCAAAGAAGCAGCTAGAAAGTTTAGGTACTTTTCCATTTTGCCGGCGCAGATGATAAAGTCGCCAATAATAGTACAACTGATGCTAAATGGAATATGCTCGCTGGTAATGCTTTACGCCTTATTTGCAAAACAAATCGCAGCCATTTCTTATCAGATTGATTGTTTCTTTCAATACTGGCATGCAATTACTTAGAATTTTTACCAGTTAGTTCAATTTTATGCCCTAAGGCCATTTGCAGTAATTAAGTCAATTAGGATGCAATCACATCGCTCACCCAAAGGCGAAAATATAGAAAAGGCAATGTCATGGGTTAAATTCATCAAGTCTAATGAGAATGCACTAGCAAAGTAAAGCACTGTGGTTTAACATAATTTCTGAATAAGCTTTTCAGACCGAATTGAAATAATTCTTGCATTTAAATTTGTATTCTAAATTGAGATTTAACTTGAAATTAATGTAGATAATTACTGAGAGAATTATATTTTTGTAGTGCAGTTTACGCGAGATGAGATCACTTGGGGTCACGTGATATGAACCGGTGAATCAGGATGTTGAACCATGAAATCACAGTAAATTTTTAAATTAATGTCTTTTTACAAATTTATTGTCTTTATTTATTGGCTTTTTACAAAATTTTAAACGATATTAAAATGTTTATGCCCTCAAAATAAAAAATTCTTAGAACTAACATTTGTTAACATTTTTTAATGTGTATTCTATATGTTGTCGCCAATAAAGTCTGCTTGGCGAGATTTGCGATAGCGAAACGGAAAAGTACCAAAGTTTAACTTGTTTTCCTGTAAGAACATTTGGAGCAATATCAGGTCTTAACAATATCCAAATTGGTTCTGGTTGACAATCAGTATCAATAATCTCAATATATAGGTCATTAACCTCTTTCATCCTTGAGGCTTGTTTTATGAAACTAACATCACTACAAATTATTGGCTGATCTAAAACTTCAAAATTTTGAGCATACTTTCCATTTAGATTTCCTAACTCAACTTTACAATGAATGTGACTGTTCCCTTCCATTTATTTTGTGCCTTCAAAATAGAAAGCATACTATTGTTTCTTGTCCCAAAGGAATACAACCTAATATTAAAGCAGTCTCTTTCAAAATAAATGATCATTCTAACCCTGTATCTATGAGGGCTCTAACAGGCATACATTTAACTGATCTCCTAGCATTTTACTTCAAAGTTCACAAAAATACAACATTTGTAAAGACTCGTCACAAAAAATGAACTTTATTACCTTATACATTCTACATGTTCATCTCACTTCTAGACAGTGTTGGACACATTGATGGAGCATGATGTTTACTATAGACTATGCATATTTTAACTTTGCATCTTTCAGAATTATACCCCTTTTTTAAAGAAGAAAAAAAAAAGAATATTTCATTTTTTAAATTTTTTACCTTTCATCAATTGGCATTTTCTCAGCATAAAACAATTACCGCTATGATGCCTTTCAGAACAGAAAATACAAGGAAATATGTTCTCACTTTGAAACAACAACTCTGATGCAGTTATCAACTCTTCATTTTGAAAAATTTTATTTTGATTTTTTAATCTTTTCTTCCTAATCCAAATCCATCCATTGACATAGAAATTCCTTGCTGTGTATCAAGTTCATTTTTAAAAAGTTTCATTAATTTCTCTAAGTGGCTGGTGGGGGTAGTATTAGTATCAAAGTTAAATGTTCTTAAAATACCTTCCAATAAAGCTACTTTTTACAAGGGGATACAATAGAGGCACACATTTTTCAGAAGTAATGCCTCAAAATTTAAGTGCTCTCATAAACAATTCTAACTTATGATACACATCATTAATAAGCAAGGGATTTGTAATATTTTAGTAACTAAGATCATCAATTCCCATATATAAACCTCCACCAATATATCCTCATGCCAAAACAGTCTCTTAATGTTGCAATCACTTCTGGATAATTTAGACCAGTTGGCAGAAAAGTCTGCACAATTTCTCTAGCTTTGGTACCTCCTCAGATTGAATCAAATACTGAAACTTGTCCTTTGGAGCCTAAATGGCTGTTGCCTTTTGCATCTTAACTTGATGAAATGTTAGCCACCTGTGATCGTTGACTTTTCAGAAGGGGAGTGCGGGTAAGTAAAATTTTAGGTATTTTTGAGAAATCCAGAAGCCAAGACCATTAAATCTAATAATAAATTCTAATAATTCACCATTAAATCTTTTTTAACTTAATCTTGAGTAATTTACATCTAGGGGCTTGAGTAACAATTTAATTTTTATTCTGCCCAATATTTTCAATACATAATTTTAATTGAATTAATCTTACTCTAAATTCATCAGAAGCATCGATCTCCTTCTTGATCTGAGATTCATCAGCTTCACTTATCATCATATGGAACAAATCTTCATTAAATTTCTGAAGTTTCTTACACTTTGAGTCAAGAATAATAAACTTCTTTGACATTGATCAGCTCATATTTTCTGGCTGTTAAAAGACCTTCCATTTCTTTAAGTAACTGGGTTAAGTGTTCTCATAACAGCCCTTTCTGTTTTTAATTTATCCATATTTTGGTTTACAGCAGAATACAAATGCTCTTGTTTGGATATATATAAATACCTTAGTCCCTGTCACAGACTCCAAATATATTATGCTCTCATGCCTCAATGATAAGCATTATTAAAAGAAATAAGATTGCAGCCTCCTTTAAATAAAAACAGAAACTTTTTTTCCTCTAAAGTTCCTCATTGGTATATATTTGCATTCAAACACTTTGTTCCCAAAACTTATTCTAAAAGCAAAAAGACAACTGTTGCCAATCTAGAGTAACAAAATAAAAAAAAATAAAAAAAGAGAAACCTCATTAACTGTACATTATCAGTTGAATCCAAGGTGTAAACACAACAGCCTACTTTCAAAACTAGATAAAATTCAACTATGGATCCTTGTCAGTTTTACAAGCTAGACAAGTCATGGATAGCTATAATTTACATTGTAACAAGCAATAATTTTAATTTTTGAAATACTGTATTATCGTACACTTTTTTTATAACCAATTGCTTAATTTTCAAAACTGGAGTACAAAAGTTAAAGTTTCAAAATCTGTATCATACAATAACTGTGAAAATACAAATAATTATGTTAATTATGTTTCTATGACTTATTACCATAGTAATATTATTTTTAGAACTAGTTAAATAGCTATCTGAATGAGAAAACATGTTGAGTTAATGATGTATTTCATTATTTTATCAAACAACATTACAAATGTGCATATAGTTGGAACTTGCCACTGGAAAACCTTTTCATACTGCTGTCCTAACACACACTTTTATTCTTTCCACAAAAAAGAGTATGAATTAAGAGTAATGAATGATTTCTGTCCATGTAATGAAAAACTGCTATTATGTAAATTACTACCTTTATCCATTCTTTCTCATCATTCTTTTAAATTATTATAAAGACCATTATGTGTCCTTTGTATTCGAGTTCACTTCTATTAAAATTAACATTTATACTCCAGACAGAATGTTTAACTTTCTGACAAAAATTCACTATGTCATAGAAACATTAATTTGACTATCACAGGAATATAATTTTCTCAACACAAAATAACAACAGCAAGAATTATTCATGCATACTTATAACTAACTATAATAATTTTAAAATACTAAATTAATGTTAATTTATTTAAACTGTTCTATTTAAAAAAATTTTACTACCTTCAAACTAACATAAATATCTATTTCCAGTTCTTGGAGAAACTAGCTGCGTCTCTTGAATTTTTTAATTTCTTAATTCTAAAATATGATTTTAATTGGTAGGAAAGTTTCCTGCTCAGTGGATTCAGAGACAGAGTAGCCCTTCTTCATGTCAAAAAAAATTTAAAATTAGTACTTTCTGATTACCCGCACTCTCCTTCTGAAAAGTCAACAATCATAGGTGGCTAACATTTCATCAAGTTAAGATGCAAAAGGCAACAGCCATTTTTTTTAAATGGCTGTTGCCTTTTAAAAAAATGGCTGCACACTAAGAATTACATAAAACAACAACCAATTAACAAAATTAAAAATGCAAGAAATTTTTGTAATAAAATTTCCCTTTTTGCTTTGTTCTGTTTTCTTTCCATGTATATGGTGATCTTAGCTTTAAAAAAAATTACAGAATTTCAGAAACTTGGCAGAGGATCAGATATCTGGAAAATACAATAGTTTTGCCTTTAGCAATCCGTTCCTGTAAAAAAAAAAAAAAAAAAAAAAAAAAAAAAAAAAAAAAAAAAACAAAAAAAAAAAAAAAAAAAAAAAAAAAAAAAAAAAAAAAAAAAAAAAAAAAAAAAAAAAAAAATTCTCTGTTCAAATGCTCTTTTCTCAAAATGGAATACGAAGCCTAATAGGCCAAAGATGCTTAATTCTATTTGAACTACAACATGAATAATGCTAACCTGGATGATGTTAGCATTTCTTTGGAGAGTAAGCTACTCTCCCTCTAATAACCACTTTCAGTTACTGCAAGTTTCACATAACAACACAACTTCTCCATGCACATTTTGCACAAAGGAATATTTATTAATAATTATTAAGTATAATAAAAAGAAATGAACAATGATCAACTTACAACCATATCTACACAACAGACTAATACATCCAGAACTGAAGCTCTGACAGGATCCACCTGAATGAACATAGAGACAGCTGATAATACATGAAAAGCCCAGAGTCTGACTGAAAAAAAGAAAAATAGCAATTTAGAATATAAAGCAGCTATTATAAACAACTCCTTTTTTAAGCTATGCATCAGAACTCCATTAAAAAAACTTAAATTAAAGGTCTGCAATTTAAAATATTTCACCACTATTCAGCCTTTGAGTTAAGCAAACCGAGTTCACACAGTATTTCTCAGCTGCTGTGATCATCTGAGCATGTTTGCCATACTTTCTCATATGTGTCAGCTACTGTTTCTTTAATGTGGGTAATGCTGAGATATACCCTATGTAGGAAAAATATAAATGAGTAATCTAATATAATAGATGGACAGTTCTTGAATCAAATACACCAAGGAGTATCTCGTAACTGAATCAGTCAAATTACTGAAGTACACTCACTGAAGTTTGATTATATTACATCAAAATTATCAGTTAAGTGGATTCTATCTTACATATTACACTGCATGTATATAGACTTCTTTCACTAGACATCATATTTATAAATATGGAAAAAGAGAAAAAATGATGCTTTCTGATAGTTATGTCGTAGCCCAAAATTTTTTATAGTTATGTGGTCGCCCAAAATCATTTATGGGGCAACTCATGTATGTGCACAAACACGTCTGTTTCTGTCAGTGTGCAATGCTGAAATTGTGCAGAGGCGAGTTCATCCAATGCTGCATTTTTTAATGAAAACAAGTCAGTGTGCATGAGAACAACAACAATGCAGGAAAAAAATGATTTCCTAAGAAAAGCAAGTGTTATTACTGGTGTTTCCTATCCTTTTTAATTTTATATATTGATTACTTTTGTATGAAATTCTTAATACACTACCATTCTGAAAATGGTTATTAACGTTTGCACATTAACTACAAAATATTAGTCAGCAATGAGTTTTCAAATGCTCTCCAAAGTTGGCAATGAGTATGCAACCTTTCGGCAAAAGAGCAGATAATCAGAAAGTACCAAAAAATCATTCATAATTGAAATTTCTGCTTTACACATTAAGAATACATTTTTAATATCACTGAGTGGGAATGTTAGAATGCAAAATACCTCATTAATATTATTTTTTATTTTTTAACATTCTACAGTTTGAAAATATAAGTAAACACAAAAGTGTGAAAGGAGAAAAATAAGTCTAGGCTATCTGCCTAAAAGAAAGGATGATCTTGTGGATGAGAGCCAATTTCTATAAGAAAACTAGTCTATAATCATGTTACATATTGTGTAAATCATGAAAATTACATGCAAACAACTTGTTTGTTGGGGTTTAATTCCAATTTGAATTGCCAAATGAGAAAGATACAAAAATAAAAGCTGTAATTTTTTTAGAGTTTAAAATATTCTTGAAGCCAAAAAATAAAAGTATTTGCTAAAACAAGATCAACACAGCTCTCTCAGAAGAACTCATCAAAAAGAAGAACTTTTCAGACTTTCCCAATATGCCAATAAAAAAACGAATAGAATGACTAGAATGAAGCTGAAACAGAATGAGCAAGCTACGGTCAGGATTGATGAAATGTCTAGACAAACTATAAAGTTTATATGGATGAATCTACTAAATTCCCATTTAATAACATCAAGGATTAATCAAATATTTGACATAAGGTCAACATGACTCTCTCAGAAGTGCTCATCAGACAGAAGAATATTCATACCTTCCTGAAAGTAATACTGAAAAATTTACTTATATTTTTATTATAATTTTATTTAAATCTTATTTTATACATTATGTATTGCTCATTTAAAACCCTTGAATATTTTATTTTTCATGACATGCAAGATTTACCTGTATTTTTCAGTTACAATGATAATTAGGGGTTCAGCGTATTCAATAATAATGTCAAACACAATATTGTACTTCGCTGATTATACATAAGTACCAATTATTTAAAAACTGCATACTTATTTCCAGTTGATGATTCTGTAATTATTGAAAATTACTCCCTTCTTGCATCATTTACTTTGAGTAATACAAATAGTGCTTTTCATTGTTAAAGTGTAAATAGAAAACAAAACAACAAAAAAAAAAAAAAGAAAGAAAGAAAGAAAGAAAGAAAATCTAACATCACAAATTATTCGCACGAGTTTTAAATTATTTTCTCTTCATGACATTTATGGATAAAATGCAAAATATTTTTATGAGTAATTATGCAAGCTACATTTGTATAACTAAAATAATCTCTTTTTTATAAGATATGAAAACATATCGTTCTACAATATAAATACATGATTTTTAAGTTTTGTTATATGTACTTTAATGTTACATAAATTTATAAGGTGTTGAATTAAGAATACCACCGAAATGACGTTTCACACCCTACACTTCAACTTGTTCCTCAGGACACACAAAATACTGAAATACAGAAAACAGATCCAAAATTTTAAGGAAAATGAGCCATATAAATAAGTCATTATACGTAGTTCAGGAACTACTTCATACTACCATCATTTACTAAAAAGAAAAAAAGATAGGTAATGTCGACAGTAAAATTTCGAAAAATCTACAAGTGATCAGGAAAAAAAAAAAAGCATAAGATAAAATCGTATAAATAATCTTCTCTAAATATGAAGACCTTTAAATTCTTTATTTAGAATTCTTAAACATTCATAGGTTTTTTTTTTTTTTTTTTTTTTTTTTTTTTTTGGTTGCTCTTTCGATAAGTTGAAAAAAATCAAGAAGAAAAACACAGTCCGTCTTTGTAAAGTTTAATATTATCAAAAACTGCAAGTTTTCAGATCTCACATAAATGCCATCAATAATTCGACTAGCTCTATAATGTTTACATTTAATACCTTCAGAAATTTTAACTTTTAACATGAATATTTAATGTTACTTTCATAAAAAAAAAAAAAAAGCATGCATTAGATGAATTTAAAATCTTACCTATTGCACGCTTTCAAAAGAAAGCAGATAAAATGATAACAAGGATTAAATTTGATCCTTCAAGAAAATGTTGCTATCGAAAACGAAAATTAAAACATTAGTCACATAATCAAAACAAGGTCCAATTACATATCCGCACATTACGATAAAACAAAATTAAATTGCTAACAAGAAACCATCACTTTGTTTCGATTTCATAAAAATACTCTTAACGGTTACAGTAAAACAGTTAAAATAACACTTTTCAGGTATTTCACACACACACACACACAGATCGTATTTTATTCTCGAGTGTCAAGATCAGAAATTATAGGTAACAAATAAAGTCACATTTCTAATTAAGGAAATCTCATAATTCTACCAAAAAGTTAATTAAATTTAAAAATAATTAAATTAATTGTATCAAATAACGGTTTCAAGGTACATCACACCAAAATTCATTACTCCTCACTTATCCAGGAATACATGCCGATGGGATTCGCGTAAGTAGTATATGAATACTTTAGTTTTTAATAATGTGAATCTTAAAAATTCAACTCCAAAAGATTCTATTACATGTTTGTAATTTAAAACATGAAATTTTTGTTCAGACAAGAAAGGCTATAATTAATTTTTTTCTGCAAAGAATCTTCCCGGGAAGTGAAAAAATATTTTGAGATGGCAACGGTGAGGTTATATGATATGTCTGGCTAAACAAATAAAGTTTGGCTTTCTTAAGCAAGAAAAATGTACTTGTTTAATTAAATATTTCTTTAAAGTATTATAGAATGGAGTCAGTTTTAATTTAAAGGCAATAACGACTGAATGAAATAATATTCAGGTAGATTCAACGAAACATTAGTGGTGACAACCGGGACGTGATTTCACTGGATTTTGAAAGTAAATACCGTTAAACATTTAAGAATGGAATTATTAGTAAAGAAAAGTTCGCCTGTTCGAGCAAATTTTACTAAAACTTTTAATATCTCGAGTGATTTATTAAATCAGTAAAAACCTAATGAGGTAGAAATTCGACCAAATTTTGCTAGTTTAAAAAGGATATATGCTCAGCTTTCTAGTTTCGATTCTGAAATAAGTGATTTATTAGTTGCTGATGCTGATGCAGAAAAATATGAGCGCGAGTATTTGATTACTGAAGAATACAATGAGAAGATGGATAGTATTACACCAAAAGTAGACATTTGTATAAATAGAATTTTAAAGGATCAGTGTAACTAGTCAGTTTGTTTTTCTCCCGTTCTGGTTAAAAGGAAACTGAAATTACCGAAGATTGAACTAATTAAATTTACCGGTGAAATTAAGGACTCGCTTGTCTTTTGAAGTAAGTTCTAAAGAATTCATGAAGATGAAAATATAGAAAAGTAGGATAAATTTCAGTATTTAATACAATGTATGTCGGAGGACACGAGAGCTCGTGATATTGTTAACAGTTATCCGCCAACAGATGAAAATTATAATAAAGTGGTAGAGTGCCTACAATCTCGTTTTGGTCGAGATAATTTACTTCTTGAGTTCTATGTACGAGTTCTATGTATGTAATACTCGAAAATTAGACACTGTTAGACTGTACTATAAACTAGAATCCTATTTGAGAGCTCTGAAATCCATTGATTTGACATCGGATAAATATTCTGCCATTCTTTTTCCTCTCATTGAATCTTGCATGGCGGAGGACATTTTTAGGGTGTGGTTTCGAAATCCGATAGTTAGTACACTAGATGAGTCAGCGGAGAATCCATACAGTTAGAAGCTAAAAAGCTTGTTACTGTTTATGAAAACGGAAGTAGAAAAAGAAGACCGAGTTCTCTTAGTGAAACCTGGGTTTTCAAATAAATATGAAAAAGGGGAGAAAGAAAAGATGACTAAAGCTCTTAATCAACCGACAGCTGCAGATTTATTTTCAGGAGTTTTCGAAAAAAGAAAACAAAACACTGCTTGTGTATTTTGTGAAAAGGCACACGACAGCAGAGATTGTTTCCAGCAGAAACAAGATATTTTAAAGGATCAAAAAGTCTGCTTTATATGTTTAAGAGCATTACATCAGTCAAAATTTTGCAAGACAAATATTAAATGTACAGTCGGTCACAAAAGTATTCGAACACCGGTACCCTATCAGAAAATGACAAGATGGCGTTTTTTTCCCTCTTTCTCTCTGTGTGTCGTGTTATTCCATCCTAGGTTTTCTTCCCCCCCCCCATCTTGGAAAAAACTGGAAAAAAATTGGTTACGATCTCTTTTTGAATGGGGAGATGCCATTTTGAGAAAAAGCTGACGACCCTATCTTGGAGAATGAACATGACCGCTCTACACACCCTTTCACTCTCTCTCTCTCTCTCTGAATTGGGAAGCCATTTTGGGGAAAAAGCAGACGACCCTATCTTGGAGAATGGAAATGAACGCCTCTCCCTCTCTCTTTGAAATGGAAAGCCATTTTGGGACCCTCTATTCTTGGGGAGGGAGAAAACTGAAGTCTGCACTTCGCTGTCTCTGAAAAGCGGACCCTCTTCTTCTGATCTTGAAGAACTGGAAATGAACGCTCTACACGATCTCTCTTTGAATTCAGAAGGTATTTTGGGACCTTCTAATGTTGGAAAACTGAAATGAACGCTCTACGCATTTTCTCTCTCTCTCTCTTTGAGATGAGTAGCCATTTTGGAGGATTCTCCACCACCATCCTAACCTTGGAAAACTGAAATGAACGCTCTACACCTTCTCTCTCTCTCTCTCTCTCTTCTCTGAAATGGGTAGTCATTTGAAAACTCCCTAACTTTGGAAAAAAACAGAAATGAACGCTCTACACCATCTCTCTTTGAAAATGGGGGGGTGTCATTTTGAGACCTCCCTCCCCCCTAAACTTGGAAAAAAAACTGAAATGAACGCTCTACACTTTCTCTCTTTGGACATGGGTAGCCCTTTGGGGACCCTCTCCTCTTGGTAGGAAAAAAAAAGAACTGAAGTGAAGGCTCTACACAATCTCTCTTGGAATGGGATCCATATTTCGGGAAACGTGGATCACCTCATGCTGGAAAACTGAAGTGAACCACCAAGATTGGACTCTATATAATATTTTTTTTAATTGACATCATGACCCTCCTCCAATTTGTTATTAAAAAAAATTTTTTTTTTTTGTTTTGGTTTTTATCCCATTTCCGATGTGATTTCAGAAATGCAATTCCATAACAGTTCAATTTCATTCGAGGTTAAATGATCTAAACAGTCTTTGACCCACCCATCCGTATGATTATTTTCTTCTCCTTCCTGTTGCACCAAATTTTGTAAGTCCATATAATCATTCCATACGGGAAGGGCTGGATCCTCACAAGGCTGTCTTGAAACACTTGGAGTCTCTTTGGGATGAGTGGAGGGATCTAGGATGTCTGGACCCGGCTGCGATTCTACCTCCATGATTTCTGGACCCGTTGGAACTTGTGGACCTGGCTGAAATTCTGCCTCCATGATCCTGGATTCGTTGGAACTTGTGGACCCGGCTGAAATTCTGCCTCCACGATTTCTGGACCCGTTGGAACTTGTGAACCCGGCTGAGGTTCTACATGCCTCCATGATTTCTGGACCCGTTGGAACTTGTGGACCCGGCTGAAATTCTACCTCTACGATGTCGGGACTTTTTGAAGCTTGTGGACCCGTCTGACATTCTACCTCTACGATGTCGGGACAGGTTTGGAGAAGAAGAAGAAGAGAAGAGGATACTGGAAGAGGTTCTGTCTGTGAGGAGTCCGAAAGAGGTTGCCTGTTTGAACAAGTCGGGGAAAAGAAGAAGAAGAAGAAGCTTCTGGATTCTGAAGCGGATCTTGCACGCCAGGTAGGTTCCGGTAAGTCGACCGTTTTTTAAGAGGTAATTTTTTTTTTTTCTTCCTCCTCATCTTCAATTGTGATGACTTCAATTTCATTCCGTTGCCGGGTCGATTTTGTTTCGGGCCATGACGACGGTTTGGTCCAGCTCCTCTTATCATCTAAGGAAGGGATGGGTAAAGGTGGCGGAGGGTTTTCTTCTTCTTCTTTTTCTTGAAACATCATCGGCGATTGGAAAGAAATCTCCTCTTTCAATTGTTTCCAAAGCGAGTACGAGCACCGATCGACGAGAAAGAGACTCTTCTGGGTTGTGACGATGAGATATTGCGTTTTCGGGGGAACGACATAGTTTTTGAAAAGGTCTTAGAATATATTTCTTATATTTCATCCTGTCGCTGACTTTAAAACTTCTTTCCTTCAGATTGGGGGACGATGATTCGTAATAGGCGAGAGGAGCGGCTGTGGTTTGAACAATATGAACTTCGTCCTCAGCCGTCGTTCTCACTCCAAACGTAAAATATCGTTTCGTGAGAAAAATATTCTTCCACCGAAAAAACCGACGAAACTGTGTGTATATCCGTCCGTATCGCCGGTCTGTTTGAATGGGCCGTCTCAAAGCTCGATCCATCCGATTCCAAGAGAAGGGAGATTCCTCTTTCGTTTGTTGCGATTCGAATAAATTTCTGTATATATTCTGAACGAGCAGGTTGGAGGATTCGACATCTTGGTTGAAAGAAACGATCGCTTGATGAGGTGGTAAATGCGGAATAAATGTCGCACAATGACACGCCAAAAAAATTTTCAAGTTGGAGATTTGCTTTAGCGTCTTCAAATCCTCCCCGTTCGAAATCCGTTGAGTTGGAAAAAACGTCTAATAGCGACATGGCTCCCAATGGAAAAGAAATGATCTCGCCCAGTACTCTCGCCTTTTATATATCTATATAGACACACACAGACACACATAGAGGCTCTATGACGTCCGTTTTATTTGTTTTTTTTTTGTTTCTCTCTCTCTCTTCTTTCCAAGAAATCTTATCTCCATGACCTCTTTTTCTTTTCTTAAAAAGATGAATGTGTGTGGGAATGAGGAAGTGAAAGTAATAATTTAATAAACAAAAAATTATCCAACCATGACCTTCTTTTTTTTTCAAAGTCACCCTTTCCAATCCAAGGACGTCCAGAGATAGAGGAAGCAGGGAGAGAGGAGGAGGGAAGGGAAGGTCACACTCTCTTTCTCTCTATAAATAAAAGGGGAGAGCCCCAAAGTCGTATTTTTGTCCAAGTGGATCATGAGGAGGCATCCCCAGCTCACTACGTGTATTCCTTTCAAATATAAATATGTTGATCTTTCCTTTTATAT